TGTAGAAAAATACCAAAAAATTGCAAAAAATGCAAAAAATACCAAAAATTACAGAAAATGCAAAAAAATAAAAAAATAAAAAATAAAAAAATGCATAACTTTTATAAAAGTACTTTCGCAAAAGTACTTTTATAAAAGTACTTCTATAAAAGTACTTCCATAAAAGTTCTTCATAAAACTTCTTTCGTAAAATCACTTTTATAAAGTGCTTTTGTGCTTTCGTAAAAGTGCTTTTATAAAAGTGCTTTCATGTAAAAGTGCTTTTTATGCCTTCATAAAAGTGTTTTCATAAAAGTACTTTCATAAAAGTGTTTTCGTGTAGAAGCACTTTTGTAAAAGTACTTTTATAAAAGTTCTTTTTTTCTTTCATAAAAGTGTTTTCGTGTAAAAGTGATGTGGGCGCCGGCAGCAGTAGCAGTAATTTAGTGCAGCTGCAGTAGTAATTTAGTGTTCTCAGCAACAACAATTTAGTGTTCTCATCCTATCTTATCTATTCAGTATTCTTACCTTATCTACTTTCAGTAGCAGGGATTAGTAGGAGTCTTATCTATTCAGTGTTCTTATCTTATCAGTTCAGTAATATGGATTAGTAGGAAGTCTTATCTTATCCTATCAGTTCAGTAGGATAAATTAAGGAAGTCTTATCTTATCAGTTAATAGGATAGAGTAGTAGATTAGCAAGGAGTCCTCCTAAAAGTAGGATTCTACCTCTTGTAATCTCCTATTTAAGGAGCTGATATTATTCAATAAAGGTATCGAAAATTTCAGTCAAGAAAGAGAGCAAGGAGAGTTAGGTGATCTCTTGGACAAATCACCATTAGGGCGCCAAGATAGGTTCATCAAGAGCAGGGAGGAACAAGGGAAAATAGGAGGTTTTCCCCGTGGACCGACCCGTAACGAGGTCCTATTCGTGAGCACTTAACAATTTGGTATCAAAGCAAGGCGTCATGGGTGACCTTGAGCAATTGAAGACTAGGGTTCAGAATCTAGAGCTCAAGATCGTGGAAAACAGCAAAGAGGTGCACGAGATCAAGGACGACGTCCGAGAATTAAGGTGCTTGATGGAGTTGTACTTTTCCAGCAAGGAAAGGAACCCGAAAGGGGCTGCAACCACAACCGGCCGCCGGCTAGATGTGGCAGAATCGTCAGGCGAGCAACAGGTCATTTCCCTAGCGCAGGTTAGCAACACCCAAAATGTCCCGATTAAGCAGGAATCCGGTGTCGTCGAGGTGTTGTAGAATCTTGGGATTGAATATCTTCAAGTTGTTGCAGGTGCTTAGGCAAGTGCTGGTGAAGGAGCTTGTATGCCTCATGTTGCGGCTGCAAATATTGCAAAAGTGTTTGTTAGCTACAGTCAGATCAGATCCTAGGGCTGCACATATCCGGGTGAATCTTGCTAATGCATACTATTTGGATGGTGATCATTGAAGTGCTGGAAAGTGCCAGGAGAAGGCAGCAAAACTGGAGCCTAATTGCATGTCAACTCGATATGCTGTTGCACTTCATCGTATCAAGGATGCGGAAAGGTCTACGAATGAAATGGATTCAATACTCAGAGAAGGGGACTCTGCAACCATTGAGCTTCAGATAGCACGGGCAGGACTTGCCATGGCTCACAAGGCTCAGCATGAAATTGTAGCAACGTTTGGAACTGGACATAATGATTTGATGGAAGTGGAAGAGCGGGCTCTGTACACACTAAAGCAGGCAATAGAAGAGGATCCAGATGATGTGGTTCAGTGGCACCAGCTTGCCCTTCACAATCTTTGTACTCTACAGTTCAAGACATCTCAGAAGTACCTTAAGGCTGYAGTTGGCCGSRRCAAAGAATGCAGCTACGCATGGTCAAATCTTGGTATCTCACTACAGCTGTCTGAGGATGAACCCTCTTCATTGGAACCCGATCYAGGAGGGCAAAATCATTCCACCTATTCGGGATTCCTTTGACTGTGTTTTAAGACACCCATCCTGAATTCGAGCTTGAGGACAAGCTCGTAGTCCAGGAGGGGAGTAATGATGTGGGCATCGGTAGCAGCAACAGTAATTTAGTGCAGCAGTAGTAGTAATTTAGTGCTCTCAACAACAACAATTTAGTGTTCTCATCCTATCTTATCTATTCAGTATTCTTACCTTATCTGCTTTCAGTAGTAGGGATTAGTAGGAGTCTTATCTATTCAGTGTTCTTATCTTATCAGTTTAGTAGTATGGATTTGTAGGGAGTCTTATCTTATCCTATCAGTTCAGTAGGATAGATTAAGGAAGTCTTATCTTATCTTATCAGTTCAGTCTTATCTTATCAGTTTAATAGGATAGAGTAGTAGATTAGCAAGGAGTCCTCCTAAAAGTAGGATTCTACCTCTTGTAATCTTCTATTTAAGGAGCTGATATTATTTAATAAAGGTATCGAAAATTTCAGTCAAGAAAGAGAGCAAGGAGAGTTAGTGATCTCTTGGACAAATCACCATTAGGGTGCTAAGATAGGTTCATCAAGAGCAGGGAGGAACAAGGGAAAATAGGAGGTTTTCCCCGTGGACCGACCCGTGACGAGATCCTATTTGCGGCCCATAACAAAAAGTGCTTTTGTAAAAGTACTTTCGTGTAAAGGTACTTTTTTAAAAGTGCTTTCGTTTAAAAGTAATTTTATAAAAGTTGTTTTGTGTAAAAGTACTTTTTGTAAAAGTGCTTTCGTAAAAGTCCTTTTCATAAAATTACTTTATAAAATTGTTTTTCTAGAAGTGCTTTTGTGTAAAATTGCATGTGAAATGGAAGTTAATTAAATCTATTTTATTTCACTTTTAATCTCAAAATGAAATGTGGCATAGTGGTTTGGAAGTGTAACGAGATGTAGACGCATTAGGAGGTCTAAGTTCAAATCAGTTCAATTGCTTATTTTGAGATTTGGGAGTATAGATAGAGCTGACTTTGGCCCAACCTATCTTGACCCTAATGGGTACCCTCGACCGAACCCACTTGACCCTTTTCTAGAAGTGCTTTTGGGTGGGTATGGGTGGGCTCCAAGGTGGGTGGGTTGGGTGGGTCAAATGGGTTGGGGTCAAGATTGCCAACCCTACTAGTTATGCAACTCCAGCCAGGTTAATCCTCTAATCCTCTGTATTGGTCCAAGATAAGCTAGAATTATGTTCATAAGAAATCCGACTTATGTTAGAGTGAGAGCCTTCCAAATTCCATAAGGCAATCTATGTATAAACATAAAAGTAGGCTTGTCAATGATACCCAAAAATCCAAGGTTCAATCTGATATCCGATCCAATTATCTTGGATTGGGATGATGCATTTATGTAATAGATCCAATTAGAGGAAAATGTTTTTTCGTCCTTGTTAGTGTGCCTAGAGGATTTAATAGATCCCTTTGCTGAGTAGTTGGCCGAAGGTGGGATTGAGGCTACAATAAGTCAAGATTCTATCTGTAGTTCCTAGCTTATCAAGAGAGCCTATAAATCATTAAAGCTAATTTCGTCAGGACGAGTTTGCACTAAAGTAACAAATGCATCATAATCTATCCCTAGACCATTGAGAGTGTAGTGAATCATGTCCAAAGTAGATAGCGGAGATCTGGATACTGAGAGATTGTCTGATATATTTTTTATTTTCTAGAGATAGGTCTCCGTTGAGTCTCCTTTCTTCAAGGTGAGCAACTGCTTTTTGAGTTGATTGATGCAGGTTTTGGATCTGGGGGCATAAAGTTTTTCCAGGGCCCACCACACCTCATGAGATGTCTTACACCACACCAACTGAGCAATGAATGATTTAGTGAGGGTGGAGAGAAGCCATCCCATGAGTAGTTTGTCTTGCTTCACTCAACTCGTGTAGGCACAATTTTCAAATGTGTTGTTATGAAACTGTCAAGTAGTGCATTCAAAGCTCCCATCAATATAGCCAGTAAGTCTAGATCCAAAGATTATTGGTTCAAGGTGAAATCTCCATAGAATGTAATTCTTTCCATCCATTTTGATGGATATCATGGTGGAAAGATTTCCATTGGGAATAATGAGGGATGACTGGGAGTTTGAGATTGTTGGGGAAGGAGAGTTGCCATTGTTTGATTGTGTAGAGCTTAACATGGTTTGTTGGGTTTATGACTCTGATACCATGAATGAGAAAATATTTTGGGTGAAATTGTTTCAACTCTTTTCGAGTGATTTGAGATTGTATAGTTACACATCTAATATATATATATATATATATATGTTAAAGGAAGGTTTTCACGCTACAGCCCCCACCATTTAGACACATGGCTTTTTCAAATTTGGACACAAGGCTTGTTTGAGAAGTTACTATTAAAGCCTAAAGCCCACTACTACCATTCAGATAAGTGGCATTTTCATTTTCTAGAAAGCTAGACATGTGGCAATTTATGAGAAATTCTTGCTAAAGCCCACAACTCACTATCAAGCAACAGCCCCCTACCATTTAGACACATGGCCTTCTCATTATTTTTAGAAAGCTAGATACATAGCATTTTCTGAGAAGTTGCTACTAAAGCCCATGACCCACTACCACCATTTTCAATCCATTCCTAAAAAATGCAGAAAATGCAAAAGTGGTTATCCACAACCACTTCTGCCTAGATTCTATCAATCTCAGTTAATCATTAGCCCTCTAAGTAGAAAACTATCCATATTCTAATAATTATTGAAAAACTATTTTTTGAAATAAATATTTCTTGAAATTTTAATAATTGTTTAAAATATTAATAAATATAAATTTAATATTATTGATTCCATAATGTAAATTTAACATTACTCTCCGTACTTAGTATGGGGTCATTCACTAGTGTACAACTAATGGAGAGTTTTCTTGAAGAGGAACTCCCTCTTTAGGATAAGGTATAGCGAAAGGATTAGGATAAGAATACAGAATAGAGAAATGATAAAGATAAAATTGAAAATTTAAATTTGAAATGGATGCCGCCTTGTATTATGTGATAGGATGCTCAACAGCAATAATTAAAAAAAAAATACATTTAGATCTAATAACAAATGGAAAAGGAAGATTTTCTATTGAATGGTATTTCCAATTTCAGAATGTAAATTTACATTCTGAAAAATACAGATTTAGATCTAATAACAAATGGAAAAGGAAGATTAAATTTACATTCTGTAAATTTACATTCTGTAAATTTACAATGTTGGAATGCCAACAATACACTTTGAAAAAATTGAGAGACTAGTTTTAATCTCAATCCGCCTCCTCAATTTCTAATACAATGTCTTTCGTTTCACCAGAAGATACAAACTTGGAGAGTTTGGATTTAATGCTGGCCCATTCTCCCATTAGCTTTGACAGAAGAGTGAAAAATCTTTCTTTTGGATCCGAAGCTGCAGAGCCCTTTGAGCTTATAGGCTGGCTCGTCACTCGTGGGCTTGTGGCATAGAATGACAACCGAAGGAGCTTCTATGCATTGATTCATTTTTCCATGGCTGACCTTCCTGAAGATGTGTTACTCTTCTAACAAGCCATTCAAAAGATGGATGAAAGTATCTTCCTTGCAAGGAATCGTTAGCCCACCCATTGGATGATCAAACCCGAATTCTTCCTCTGCCTGACGTAACAATTCTTGGAATGAGGGATGATTCAAGTAGGATACTGGAATAACAAACCTCCTCTTTTCTGCTTCTCCTACATAAACTGCCAAATGACCCTTGGGAACATTGGCCGTTGTTGACCAAAGCGATTGGTTCCTCCCTCCTGAAAGAGAGCGGCGAAGAATCTCCTTTGTGTGAAGCAAACCAGGMAAGCGGAAACCCATGATTTTCAAGGTTACTTGTTGAAAGAAGGATTCACAAGATATTGATCTCGGAAAGAAAGATGCACTTTCCCTTAGCTTGTGTATACTTATATATAGAGAGAAAGGTAGACCAAGGAAATGGTGTGGGCAAGTAGGAGAGCCCACATTATTCATATTAGGCCTTTCTGAGGGACATGCTACATGTGAAACCACATGATTTTGCCTTTTAACTCGTTTCCAGAGATTTGTTGAGAGTGAAAACACTGTAGCATTCATGGTTTCTTGCATTAATTGAGAGCAAACCACCCGCGGTTTTTGGCACACAATAGAAAGGCGGAGGCCAAAAAACTTGTTTGTGTTCCATTCACTCCCATCTCTTCACATGGGCTGCTCCTGCTTATGACTCTCAAATACAATGAACTGATACAATATATAGACAGACATATAGTCTTCATGATGATATCACAGCAGGCGCCCCACATGTACATCTCAACGTGCATTGGGAACATCTCTCATATTTATCATGGGAAATGTTTGTGGGGTGCTGATGTGAACTCCTTCATGATAACCAAATTGCACCTGATCAAAACTAGAAAAAGGGATCATATATCCATATAAATTGTAGAAAGAGCTCATAGTTGTACATAGAAAGAAGTTTGGCGGTTGCTGATAATTGACTGGGGCGGCAAAGCCATGTGAAACCATAACGTCATGAGCCTTGTCCCTCCTTGTGTCCCATCACTATGTAATTACTCTATCTTCAATCTTCACACTTATCATCATCTCTCATCAGTTATTGACAAAGTTATTGTCCATATATATATATAGAGGCCACACTAAACGTCTATCGTTCTCATCATTCCACATTTACACAAATCACAATCTCCAATATTCTCAGAATTCTCTTCCTTCTCTATCAATCCTTCTGTTGTTTGATTTCTTATTCTTGCAATATAATTGTGCCTATAAGCCATGGGTATACGCTTGCCTGGATTGGTTCATGCCAAGATGATTCTTCGACGTTCTTTTCTTACTGCAAATCAATCAACTTCTGCAGCAACAGATGTCCCCAAAGGCCACCTGGCTGTTTATATTGGAGAGACGACCCAGAAGAAACGGTTCGTGGTTCCCATATCCTATTTGAACCACCCTTCATTCCAATCCTTGCTTACTCGCGCTGAAGAAGAGTTCGGATTTGATCATCCAATGGGTGCTCTGACAATCCCTTGCCAAGAAGAAGCCTTCATTCGTCTCACATCCTGTTTGAACGGTTCTTGACAACTATTTAAGGATCAAGGAAGACAGCTAAAACTGAAGTCTGGCCAAGAAATGGCCAATTACATGTAAATATATTTTTTTTTCTTGCAGAAGAGAGTTGAGGAAGAAAAAAAAAAAGAGATTTCTTCCTCTATATATATGAACAATTTTCAATACAAAATTTTCTTCTCATCAATGATCTGAGTTCTACAGGAATAGTCTAATTCTAATTTCTCTTCTTTTCTTCTTTTCAATGGTTTAATTAATTCCAATTTTACATTTTTTAAATTTGATTTGCGGGATCCCACTTCACAATTCCAACTAATGTGATTCATTTCACTCATAATAATCACATCAAGAGAAGATGTACAAAGTAGAATGTATATTAAAAATAGAGGAAAATGGAGAAAACATCTTCTGAAGGGAAATAAGGATATTACCATATACAAGGGTGAGTTCACTCTCTCACGAGTTCACATCAGTGCCCCACAAGGGAGGCGCCCCACAACGCCCCACAGGGGTAGGCTCCAGCCAAGCTGAATTAAATATCTAGCTATTAGATTTCAATTTGATAGAAAAAAACGAGGTTTGAGTTTAAGCTTCAGTTCGATTCGAGCTAGAAATATAAGTTTGAATTCAGCTTGACTCAAATGCTTAGATGTCCAATATTGGCTCAGCTTGATCTTGTATATATGCTCGGTTAAACTCTCAAGCTTCACAAGCCATGTTTTATTGAGCTCGTGCTCGGCCCAATTAATAAATATTGGGTTTGAGCTTAATTTAAAACATGGATTGGCTAGATTTGACCTTGCTTTATTTGTTTGTGTAAAGTAAATTAAGATGTAAAGTGGTATGTGTCCTATCTTATACACAAGACTAACAAGAGAATGAAGAAGATAAAGGGTTATTTGTTTTAGAGTGGAGTAAGAAGCAAGATAATATGGTCCCCTTCACTTTATATGAGAGAAAATTAAGGTGGGAAGAAGGTGGGGCAACAGTTTTTGAAACAAATGAGACAAAATTTACATTGCTAATAACAAAAGATACAAATTTTATATAAGGTAAAAGTGTAAATAATAATTACAGAACAAGAGATGCAAAACTAAACTGATCATAAAATTTTCAGATTTGCACTACAATCAAATGCAGCCTCARTTAAATCTTCTCATAGACTGCATGTATACATTCACAATATATAAATTTCTATTTAAAGGTTTAAATTATTTATACTAAATTGGTTTATGCAACTGTTTAATACATTRGACTGATTGACAAATGTGGTGAGGTCACTTGAACTTGACAATTGGATGAATGGAGAGACCCACAACTTCATGAATCACAAAATGTGTTGGTTCATGTGCTCTTAGAATCTGTTTACTGACATTTCTCATCAAGGATTAATGCAACAGCTTTACTTTATCTTCTTGACCGTGCCGTGCTGTGAAGGGCAGCAGACCCATGTGGTGGTGTTTGTGTACAGACTAACTACAGCCGGCAGGGTTCCATGGCCATGGGCCTTTATCTGATATGGGCCCATATCCATTGTGGTCCAACAATATGAATGCTCTATAAGCTACAAGACAAGAAGCTGCAAATCCAGACAAAGGTGAGCAAAAGCCAATAATTTAAATGGTATTTTCAATTTCCRTTGGGAGAAATTCTCCCTGTAAGTTTCCAATGTTTGAATGTCAACAATATACTTTGGAAAAATAGGGAGATTGGTTCCCCCCCTCCTCAACTTCAAATGGAATGTCTTCCGTTTCACCAGAAGCTACAAAATTGGAGAGTTTGGATTTAATGCTGGTCCATCCTCCATTAACTTTGATCGAAGAGTGAAAAATCTTTCTTTTGGATCCAAAGCTGCAGCAGCCCTTTGAGCTTATGGGCTCCCTCGTGGGCTTGTGGCATATAGAATGACAACCAAAGAAGGTTCTATGCATTGATTCCTTTTTCAACGTCTGGCGTTTCTGAAGATGATCTTGTGTTACTCCTCTAACAATCCATTCAAAAGGTGGATGAAAGTGTCTTCTTTGCAAGGAATCGTTAGGCCACCCATCGGATGATCAAACCCAAACTCTTCCTCGGCCTGACCTAATAATTCTTGGAATGAAGGATGATTCAAGTAGGATACTGGAATAACAAACCTCCTCTTTTCTGCTTCTCCTACATAAACTGCCAAATGACCCTTGGGAACATTGGCTGTTGTTGACCAAAGCGATTGGTTCCTCCCTCCTGAAAGAGAGTGGCGAAGAATCTCCTTTGTGTGAAGCAAACCAGGAAAGCGGAAACCCATGGTTTTCAAGGTTACTTGGAAAAAGAAGGATTCACAAGATATTGACCTCGGAAGTTGGTATTAGAAAACACAGAGAGCGTCAACACACTGATAGATCTATTGGAAGTAGAAAATGAAAGATGCACTTTCCCTCAGCATGCGTACACATATATATAGAGAGAGAGGGGTGTAGACGACCAAGGAAATGGTGTGGTCAGAAGGGCATTCGCAAAAGAGTGGCTAGCAGGAGAGGCCACATTTATTCATATTAGGCCTTCTAAGGGACATCCTACATGTGAAATCACATGATTTTGCCTTTTAACTCATTTCCCCAAATTTGTTGAGAGTGAATGCACTATGGCCTAAACGTACCAATATTACATCGTTTCATGCCCCACTGAACCCACTTGAGTA